TTGGGTAGACTGTGAATCTTCAATAGTTTGGACTCTTGTTTATTTTTTTTGTTTTTGTATTTATTTATTCAAAGTGCTGGGGATTGAACCCATGTTAGGTATTTGTTTCAACACAGAGCTACACTCTCAGTTCAGTATTTGAACTTTTAACATCTTCTTTTCACTCCCCTTAGAGGTATTGAAAACTTTAAAGCATTTKGGCAGAGGCAATGAATAACAATCCAGTTTTATGTAAGACCTCCAGAGCCCATCTTTATAATGCACTGTGTTCTCATGGGGGAGAAATGAAAGGCAAGGTTTACATCAGCCTAGCCTCCTCACTACTTAGGAATCAGAATGTTCCCAAGGTCAAAAAACGGTGTGAAGTAACTCTCTAAACCCATCTTGGAGGGCACTATGTCACAAATACAGTGTAAATTGCTCTTTAACTAGACATGAGTCTCATTTTAAGTGYTGCTGTTTATATTCTTTATGTCCTGCCTTTCTTTTTATGTTGAATTTGTTTCACCTTGTAAAGATTAAGAGGAGCATGTTCTAGCTTTTAAATGTGAGGATTGAATTATTAATAGTTTTTGGACAAAAACTGGTCCTCCATTTCTTCTACCAAAAGCAGTACATTCTCACAAACTTTGTACCTCACTGAAATAAAGTGTCATTTAAAATTTTTTATTAATTAAGCATTTAAACCATTTTATTTCCTCATCGATATGTAGCACAGCTGTTTCTCAAAAGGAGCAAGTGCAGGGACGACATGCAATCTAATTAGATAACATTCTTTGTGTGTTTCATATTTAGTGGTTGCAAATCAAATTAATAAATTTTTAATTCATTTTTTGAAATTTAATTCATCAAGCCATTAGGGGTGTACTACCCCTACCACATTGTATTGTAAYGATCCCTTCATTTATTGTATGTGCCATATTAAGGGTTAGAGTGTGTCATTCTACATTGGACCTTAAATACCTCTGGTATCCTTATACTGTTGGTGGTGGTTACCACAAACTTGTAAGACTTGTTCAGAAACAGTGAAGTTCTGTCATTCCATTAGAGTCTCATTATGTGAATTCATTCTGGTTCAACTCCAAAGTTTAATGTGGACTCCATATAGTAACTTGATTTTCTAGAGAAATTGGTCCATGCCATTACAAGGAAATACACTATAGATGGCTGAATTCAGGACAAAACAAGTACCTTGTAACTTAGCTGATGTCCTTGGTATTGCTAATGCATTTCATATACTTTTTTTTTTTTTTAACTGTAGCTAACTTTGCTTCTCCTCCATTTTTTGTTATGTTTTGTTTAATTTTTAGTCCCCCTCTCTCTTCTTCAGTTTCCTCTAGTATCAACCTCTTGAATAGTTTACCAAATATTGACATCTACTTTTTGATTACATGGTTTTTTAAAATACTTTTATTGTGAAATCGTTTTTTTAGAAAAAAATTCCACACAAAACCAATTAAAAAGGGCTCACCTTATAGTTAATGAAGATATGTAATAGTAAATATGTACCTTGTGTTATAAAYGAAAGAACCTGTATTGTAAAATTTCATCTAAAATTAGTTAACAGTATAAGATTATTGAGTCTTGTCTTTGTGGACAGATTTTCATTTTTTTCCCCATTGTTTGGGGGTAGGAGAGTTTCAGTGACAGAAACATTCTCTATTAGTAAGTATCAAATCCCTTTTTAAGCAGTCAACATTTCTGGTTGTAGGATGGAAATCACGTGGATTTAGGGAAAATTGGCTAAGTATAGAATAATTGCAGAAGAGGAGAAAGCATTTAATTACAAAGAACTTGCATAAATGTTGCCTTTCTCTGTGTCTAGATGGTTAGAGATAATTGTATTCTTGTATTTTATTTTCAAAATTGAAGGTTATTAAAAAAGTCAGTATCTAGGGTGCAGAGTGGGTTAGGAAATTAAAGAAAGCACATACTGCATAGCAAAATAGAGTTAAAAAATCACACAATCAAATAAAAAAGAAAATCTACTTGCTGTGAAAATGAATTTAAATGTCATGAAAAAGTAGATTTAAAACTGTGAGTTCCTTTATTACCTTAGTGTGGACTGTAACCCTTATAAATCAATCTCTTCAATAATAAATTTCCATAATGACCATTTACATATATGTTCTRTGTGTGTACACACATGTGAGTATAAATGTAAAAAGTCATAAATGTAAATATATTCTAGTGTATATGAAAAATAAGGTAACACAAAACTAATATGTTCAAATACTTTTTACCAACATGAGTTTGAGTTTAAAGACTAAAGGCAGAATATATTTTTGCATTGGCTTAGTTTAATCAAAAAGTTAAATATGTGTTGACATACATGCAGGAACTAGAAAATGGAACTATATGTATATTTTACAAATATCCAGTGGTTATATAGATACTAGTAGTGATTATTAGAACTTCTAGCTTATAAATTATGAAATTTTATTAGTTCCGTTTAAAAGTTAAAAACCTACATAACCAGTGGACTTACCTATCCAAAACAGGTTATCATTGGCTTTGTGCTTCAGACTTTATATTGAGTAAGTACAAATGAAAAGCATTTGGATATGATTAAAGAACAAAGAAGGAAGGACATGGAGAGCAACCAATTCAGAAAATAAGGAACACTTGGTTTACCTAATTATAACCATCTTGATTTTTCATTTTTCTTTTTATGTATCAATTGGAAGTGTAGTGGAAAGTTAACCCTTCAGCCTAATTATCAGAATAAATTCATTGCAGATTTTCTAAGGTAACTGTGCTTTCCTTAAAGTTAAATCTTAAAAGTCATTTGCAGTTTGTATTGGCCACAATTAATTCCTTTGATATAGTATAACAGTTTTTTCTTTTCATTTTCAAAGACTGAAAATCTATATTTATCATCATCTATATGAGGATGTATTGATATAAACGAGGGGTTATGCTACATGTAATCCCAGTGGCTGGGAAGGCTGAGGCAGGAGAATCACAAGTTTGAGGCCAACCTCAGCAACTCAGCAAAGCCCTAAGCAATTTAGAGAGAACCCTGTCTCAAAATAAAGAATAAAGAGGGTGGGGGCTGGGTCCCAGTGGTTAAGTGCCCCTGGGTTCAATCCCTGGTACCAAAAAACAAAACAAAAAAAATTCAACTGAGTAATGGAAGATTTGCACTTGGATTAGGTTGAGGTGTGCAGAAATGTGACTGGATCTAAGAAAATGATGGATGGAGCATTTATGTATAACTGTAATGAATTCTGAGATTGTTATTGTAAGTCAAGCACTAAAATAAAGCCCAACTTCTGACTCTCATTTTATAAGACTTCTCATAAATGATAAATGCTATGAAAAGTAGCAGACATTTTTGTTTCTACAGTGAAACAATACAGTTTATTCAGWTAACAGTTTTCACTATTGATTTCTCTTTATTTTTCCTTTCCCCACTTTTTATAATGAGCTTCTAATTTATTCTGTATTCATTTTATGTAGGAAGCTATATGGGTTTTTTGATAAATKTTTTAGAGTGACATCCATTGACTTTTTTTTAGAGGACCTTCTTGCTTTTTTGGAGTTTGTTGATTAGTTAATTGAGTCATTAAACTTGGGTGCTTAAGTAAAAATGGGACAAAGAACCAGAAATTTTAATGACAAAGGCATGTGGAAGCATTATATGGTTTTACTTGCTGCAAATGCTTTATGTGGATGTCTATCTCTGTGTTAATTTTCCAGTCCTAAAGCATTTGTTTCTACCTCAGCCCTTGTACAGTCACAAAATAGTTAAAACTTCACAATGGAAATTTGTTTTGTATATGTGTGCCTATTGGATTTTCGTGATTCTGCACAAACAAAAATATAGAAAACCAAGGTTTAATTTTAGTTTTTTTGTGTGTTTCAATTGCTGCTCTTTTATCCAGCACTAGCAGTTTGGGGTTGATCAACATAATTAATGTTGTAAACTTAATAGTAAGAATCATTGCAGATAATAATATTATTTTTCAACAGGAGTCATGTAAATCATTAGAATCCCCAGAAACATGGAAATTAGAACAGAGGTGACACCTGAATCTCCTTCCTTTCTATTTGATTTTTTTTTTTTTTTTTTTTTTTGGTGGTACTAGGGATTGAACCCAGGGCCTTGTGCATGCAAGGCAAGCACTTTACCAACTGAGCTGTATCTCCAACCCTTAAATTTTCCTCTTTTCTAAATCATTTCTTTTTTCATATCATCACAACTTTTTCCATTTAACACAGAGACTTCTTCATCCATTTTGGCTCCCCATTTCTTATAGTAGAATTATTTAATGGGTCAATGTACTGCACTGGGAACTTCAAAGATATGCACAATSTGAAGCCCATCATCAGAAAATCTGATTTTGGGGTAGGAGTGTCAAGTGTATTTGATAAAAATTTTGCTCATTGATCTGGATTTCTCCTTATGTCATGTGTAAATCAGATTCTTCCTGTTACTCTCTGTTCTAGCCATGCAAACATAGATGTTATAAAAATGCTTAGTTCTGTTTCCTAACTGTGTACTTCTTATATGCTTTTCTAATGCCTACAATACCTTTTCCTTCCCTCACTTACATTCCTTTCTCTCCACTCCAGTTCTTCGTCTTTCACACAACTACTGTCTTCCTAGATTTTCTTTTAATGGCAGTTTCCCCCCTTGCTTTCCCAGATAGAAATAGTCACTCTGTCTTTTGTGTTTGGCATTTTGTGTTTGACTTCATTTCAAGTGTTTATCTCTACCATTTAACTGTGTGCTCAGAAAATCATGTAATCCATATTGTTTATGTTGATGTTAAGTTAATAGATGGGTAAATAATAAAGTGAAATCCTGTTAGGAATTTACATGTACAGTGTTTTCTGTGATCATTGTTTTTAGGGATGATAGTAAGTTGAAATTTATGATCTAACATCAAAACCTAGAAATATCTACATATATCATTTTACTTAGTAAATTCCCWTTAAAACTTATGTGCATATGTATTTATTTTTCTTTTCATTTTTTCCTTTTATGTCCACAGACGAAATCTTACAAAACTGTCCCTTATCTTCAGTCACATGCTGGCAGAAATCAAAGCAATCTTTCCCAATGGTCAGTTTCAGGGAGATAACTTTCGTATCACAAAAGCAGATGCTGCTGAATTCTGGAGAAAGTTTTTCGGAGACAAGTAAGTAGAAATCATTTTTAGTATTTGGATCCATCTTTCAAGGGTGACCTAGACTTACCTACAGTTCTGTATGATTTTTTATTATTTCAAAGTAAATATCAGATAGCATTATGYATTTTATGGGAATTTGTTGAATTACTTTTTACTCTGTGAAGAAGAGGTGTATAAGACAGTTTCTACATACGAGAAATTTTTAACTTTTTATACCTTATTACACACCTAAGACACATATACAAAATAGAAGGTTGAAGAGTATATGCTTTAAAAAATGACATAAATAAATTGTGCTGACAATTCAGGAGGAAACAGCTGCTCTATGATTGCAGAAATCAAGKACTGCTTCCTGAAGGATTTGAGATGGTGAAATTGGTTAAGATCTGAAGCGAAAGTGTGAAGAGGCCTTAACAGCCTATTTCAGCCTGTCTTTGTAGTTTTGTACAAACAGTATTATGTATCAATAAGTAGTGTTATCACAAAGCTGTATTACACCACAAAGTAGCTGGGTAAAGATGTTTTCCAATAGATGGTTACTCTCAGACTCAAAATCTGATGAGTTTGGTAAATAATAGAAATTGGAGATCTGAAGTCAGAATAATTTACATGAAGATTATAAAATTTTTGTCTGAAATTTCTTAGTAAGATAATGAAGAAGTAAGCACCAGGAGGCAAACATTTTCCTTAGGAAACTTTTAGAGGTCCACTTAAATGAGAGAGGACCCTTAGAATATCCTTGAAGCTTGGCTGAACAGTAAAGGGGAAGAGTTATGTCTTATATGTAGATTATTGTTTTTATCTTTTGTTTAAGAGTCTAGATTTATTCCGTAACTGGTGAAATTGGATGGTTTCAGTGCTTTGAAACTGATGTACTGTAGCACTGATTTTCTTTTTCCCCCCCTGTACAATGTGTCATGCTTATCTTAGCTAGCACCATGACTAGAATGTACTTGGTTGATATGCATTTTAATAGATACATAGTTTATTGGCTTCAAAATATTGGTTAAGATCAGAAGCTAAAGTGTGAAGAGGCCTTAACAGCCTATTTCAGTCTGTCTTTTACTTCTTATTAAAGTCTGATTTTTACTTCTTATTAAAGTGTATTCTGAACTATTTTTACACTGTAAAGGGGGAAATGCCATTATTGCCATTCACACGTACACTGTGTGTTCTACAAACCTAGCTATTTGTAATGTTCTTATATATATTCACWATGAGGAATTAGAAAGGATAAGGCTCATCTTCATTGCTTCATCTGAATTAAATTGCCAGGAGTATGCTAATTAAATGTTTGCAACTGATATAAAGCTCTAAGGGCTTGGGGAGTTGTGGAGGAAGAACATGAAGGTTTTGCAGCKCTGTAAACCTCTTGCAAACAGTTGGTAACCTTCAAAGTAAACTTCCTCTTAAAATTTTAAGAAAAAACACAGGACAAACTGTTCATTTCTTTTTGAAAACTGAAATTTTTGGTGAGTTATAAAATTGTTTCCTTGTCATAAGGTCAGTAAAAAATGGAAAGATTGTTAAAATGTTTCAAGAGAGGAGTTTGCTTTGCTGGCACTGGAACCTGCAGAGAATTATGCATTTGAGACATCTTTATTTCCATTTATTTATAACCACAGATGTCAAGGGACTAAAATTTCTGTTCAAATACTACATCAGTGAAATCACTACTACATCAAATGGGAGATTCTTGAAATACCAGTTAAATGCTCCCCTATATCCCAGATCCTTAYATTTGTCTCCATAACCCACTGGCTCCAGAAAGCTACATGATTTGTCCTTAACATTATTTTTAGGATGAGAGCCAAATTTCAAGTCATTTCCAGACTTACACATATTTCTATAGTCATTCAAATCAATGATAACTGTATGAGATTATTGGAGAAACTTTCTTTGTATTCTCCAGAGATTTTCACCTTGTAGTCTTAGAGTAGTTTATTGAATTAATGAGAAAATGAATGAATAGTGTAATCTTTCAAGGGCTGAATTCTTTTATATTCTTTAATACCAGTTTGTGTTTTTGCTTAACCTGATTCTCCTGCAGAAGCATTCCTGACATTGTTCTCACTGCACGTGGTTGATGCTGTGTGAGCCACTTTCATTTAACCTAGATATTGCCTTTAAACTGGACAACAGCATGGTGTTCAAAACAGAACCATTGAGAGGCTGGTTCTAAAATCAGCCAAACATATTATGACTTTTTTTTCAAATTTTTTTTTAATGTTTACTTTTTTAGTTTTCGGCGGACACAACATCTTTGTTGGTATGTGGTGCTGAGGATCGAACCCGGGCCGCACGCATGCCAGACGAGCGCGTTACCGTTGAGCCACATCCCCAGCCCATATTATGACTTTTTAAAATATACCTTTTATCTTAAGGATTCTTATTGTTCCTTATTTTCCAAAAGGAACTGAGTCAATAATGAAACATTAAAATTGAATTAAAATTGAGAATACACTATTGATCATATTAATAGAACTCATAAAGAGAATTTCAGGATTCATACTTTATTAAGATAGGCAGTAGAAAAACAACCATATGCCTAATGCTTTATTTCTGTGCTTCCCAAAGTTGTTAACATTATGGCAGGCTTAGCTCTCTGCTTAGGCCCCAAGTCCATTAGCCAAGAGATTCTGCCTGCTTTGAAGCCCCAAAGAGATCAACTAAAAAAAAATAATAAATGTCATGGCAAACTGACTGGGCATGCCTGAATTTTTATTTAATATTTTAATAGTTTTGTTCTGCTTTTGGTTTTTTGTCTGTTAAAGAGGAAATGATAGAAATACATTGGAAAAGAAAAATGGTATTATGAAATAAATGTGTGTAACTAAATTGTACAAAATAAGATAGTACCAAACTGAATCTTTATATTTTGGAATGGTAGTTTATAATCCATAAACTTTTAAGCATGCAGCTCATGAAGTGTGTTACAAGATGTGGAAGGAAGGGAGGAAGGAAGGAAGGAAGGAAGGAAGGAAGGAAGGGAGGGAGGAAGGAAGGAAGGAAGGAAGGAAGGAAATAAATAGGTAGGACTCTGGGTGGCAGTTATTTTTCTAAGCAAGATAGGTAGCAATTAGAGATTTAGTCATAAAAATTGTAATTCATTAAGAATCAATTATAATTCCAGTATTCTCTTAGGTATCCTCTCCTCCATATACTTAGTTTAAAGTTCTTGTTTTCAAAAGATCAGACTCTTGTGGATTACTGCAACAGCCTTCTGATTGGTATTCCTATCTTCAGTACAGCCTATCCAGTTGATCTTCTGAGATCAGTGAACTATATTGAAAAAGAGGTAATCAGTCCAGTCTTTTGCCAAAAGTGCTCCTATGAATATTGGTTCTGGAAGAAAAWATTCTAAAATCTTATTAAAATAATAAACTTTAGGAATATTTTCTTCTGGCATCATCTCTTTGAACTCAGCTTATCTGCAAAGAAGCAAACTATTCAACACTCCTGTTTCCTCTTGCATATTTCCCTTTTTACACACCTCAGTATCATTGTTTTCTTCCCTCTGCTTGGGTCACTCATGCCCTACCCAGTATTGCCACATCTAAAGTTTTCTCTGACTGCCCTCATCTGAAGTGGTTACCTCTACACTGTTGTCTTATTTTGCATTATATCATAAGCTTCAAAAATTCACCTTTATTTATTCACATTTGTGTTTCTCAAGTCTCATGGCAATGTATCATATATACACTTTCAGGAATGAGTGTACATTTAATTGAGTTGAGAAGTAGAAGGATGTGCAGGAGCCTTGYGTATGTGTGAGACAAAAGATGAGAAGACAGCTCTTTTGCCTCACTGACAGGCAGCATGGTTCGGCTTGTACATGCAGGCTCTAGAGCCAGAGCACCCTTATGCAGGTTTTGAATGCAGCGCTTCCTAGCTTTGTCACTTAGGAAGCTGTGTGGTTTCTCCTTGTATCTGTTTCCCCTTTTATAATACCTACCAGGATACTGATAATACCTACCATGTAGGGTTGCCATGGAGGTTAAGAAGGCTGAAATCTACTTATAAGGCYCATAAAACTATTTGACACATAAAAAGCAGTCTATTTATGAAGTAATTAACCAGTTCAAATCTTGATCTTACCATAAGTGCCGTGAATATATTTATTATTAATTATAAATTTAATATAATTAGTATTTRACTTAGTATGATGGAAGTTCCATACTCCCAAGCAATCAAAAAGCAAAAGTTGAAAAGAATGAAAAGTTAAAAAATAAAGGCACTATGGTATTATGTATATTCTGTAWAAAAGTTAATTGAAGATAAAAATGATATTGCTTATGGGGGTSATCTATTTATACTTCAGTGTATTGCCTCTGCCTTTGATTTCCTGGGGAAGTGGTATATATGGTCCTTCTTGGGGTTTCCTGTATTTTCCTTTCTCTTTTAATAAGAAACAAGGGAAATGATTTCTTTTTCTTTCCTATGAGTAAGATATCTGTTCTTCTCACATATTAACTACAAGAGTTTTCCCTCTGGTTAAATAAAAGACAACATATTTATTTTTAATTAAAAGAAAAGTTACAATTGACTTTAAGGACTTTTACAGTGAAACTATGTAGMAGGTTTTTCAGAAAGAAAGAAAAAATAACTGAAATGAAACTCAAAGCCTTTCTAGTTAATATGTCTGTTGTTTAGCTGGCTCCCATTATTGACTGATTTTTTWAAAAAAAGTCAAATTATCTTTATGTCAATAGGTAAACAAAAGTTACAAACTTATTGTAGGCTTATTGAAAGAAGATGTCAAACCATAATTTTATGATTATGAGCARTCTGTATTTAGTTTGGGTAAGACAGGGTATACAGAGATGATAAATACTTAAAATCTGTTCTTTACCATTAAAAAGTATTTCAGAGATATCACAGGGAGCAAGTTAATTTCCTAGTAATTATTTACTATGGTTATCAGAGGAGTTCTGGACCTCTGTGAAGAAGTCAGAATTTTGTGTAGGTTATATATATTAATAAGGAGCCTCTCATTGTGTCCAGTGGGG